TTATTTATAACATAACACGTAATATTACAAACAAAAGCTAACTAACGCCCACGATAAGGTTTTTCTGGAAATTCAAGCGACGCAATTTCCCGAATATTTACGTTCGCTGTACATGAACGATACAAGGGCAAGGCAAGACAAGAATGGATCAAAATTTAGGCAATTAATATGACGTTTAGTATACGCTAGTGGGGCACTAGGGGAGTTGATAGGTGAGAATGAAAGCACTAAAGTAGCTGACCTACTTTACTAGCCCATTGTGACGAATCCAACAAAAATTAATCACGATGGTTTCTAGAGTGAACCGTGTGGGGGTCGACCTGATAGAGTATATTGCTAACTATAGGGTTGTTAGATCTTATTACTAAGAATTCCTTCCTCCCCCCTTCGTGTGAGTTGTACAAAGATTTAAATACAACGCACAAAGCCCCTAATACGAGTTCAACAAAGACATTAATACTAAGAGATGCAGTAAATTCTGTCAAATTTACCGTAAGTCTTAAATTATACTTTAAATTATTGTCACTTTTGATGCAAATAAATTTAATGTTTTATCGATTTGAATATTTAAAATTTAATAATAATTAATATTTACCATTAGGGGGTTCTTTATGGCAATCTATGGAGGAGACTTATGTTCAATAGTAGACAGATACTGATAAAGTAAAATTATCTTACGACATTATATATATATATTACTCAATCTTACCCAGTAATAAACAATTAAACTCATGAACGAGTACACATTCCTACGATTTTAGGACCTTGAAACAAAAAGCTGAAATTATAAAAGGTGACGGTGCATGGCTGCTGATTGTGATTACGGACTCGAGGCGGCAAGTTTTCCAATTAGAATGTTTTCATGACCCGCGGCGCTGCCGTTAATGGATTCGCATTCGTACCTGCATAACTATTTGACATTGTTCGAGCGTCGCCGTAACTTTACCTACGGGTAGGTACTAGGTACCTACACTGTAAGCTAAAATGAATGTTTTCTTTTTTTTTTTGATGGATGAACATGGTATGGTAACCCCGCCTGCGCTAACGGGATACGCTGGCGGAGCACCAATGAAGGGTGATAGATGAGAATGAATACAGGCCAGTTAGCCCATCATAATGAATTCATCAGGAATTAACCATGATAGTTTCCAGGGGAACCGCGAGGAAGTTGACCTGGTTGAGTATATTGCTAGCAATGGGATTCGGTCTCCATCACTAACAATCCCTTTCCCCCGCGAAAATGAATGTTGAAATTATTATCAACTAGCGACGCGCCACGGCTTCGCATAGGTAGATAGAAATATATGTGTATATTGCTGTATGGTCCCGGAATAGAATAGGACACCGCTTCCCTTCCATTGGATGTCGTAAGAAGCGACTAAAGGAATTTAGTGATCGGAGAATAGCCAGCAGCGGCCCCCTGAAAACATCTCCAAAGCCTAACTGCAGTTGCCAATCCGCCTGCCAAACTTGGCAACTACTAGTAAACCTCCCAAGGGAAGGCTTAAGATCCGCAGTGGACAGTTAAAGGCTGATGACGATATGTATATAATAAAATATAGCCCATGTTTTAATGTAAAAACAACTGGATGAACTTACGTATATTTTAATAATTAATAAAATAATAATTTTAATAATAAATAAATAAATCTTGACTAGTTTTCGAGTAGTTAATGTCGTGGCCGCTTATTACTACGGGTCCTGGATAGTCTCGAAACTAGTTGAGCATGCTCGATTAAAATACACGTAATTTAATTACATTTTTTTATGTTGATACAAGATTTAGTGACAAATAAATTCAAAAATGTTTATTAATTCTGCTCGTTATTTGGGTATTTTTTACTACTTGTATACACCTACACAAATTTCAATGAAATATTTTTTTCCCATAATCGCCATTTACACTTATTTATTATTCTTATATATAGGTTTTCTTTATATGTAGATATACTGAAAGCCCATCATTTCCTTTTCTATTAATTTATTTGGTGAAATAGTAGACAAATAAAATCTGTATTCCAGAAAATCGAAAATCTATAAATCGGGATTCCAGAAAGAGCAAGTAATAAAATATGCATATTTGAAAAAGCTCAAGATACATATTTACGTATAAGTGAGTAACAAGAAATTAATGGACTTACTGTGTTTGCCGGAAGCCTTGTTCAGGGTAAGAACGGTGCTTACGTAACATCTTCTCATTTTAAATATAATACATTCTATGATACTAATTTTTTCAAACATTTTTTTTTACATCCATATTTGAAATCAGTTGAAAACGTTCAATTTTTTCAATATTTCTTTTCATAATATCTTTTCTTGGCCTTTAACGAATATTTAAAAAGCTCTAAACTTGAGAACAGCTGGCCGTTGTCGTGTTTAGCGCTTAACAGCTTTCATTTAGAGATTCTTTTTTTTTATTTTTTTATACAACTTAGAATGGCAAACAATCTGACGGCTCACCTGATGGAAAGTGGTTACCGTCGCCTATAGACATGAGTAGTACCATGGACATAACAGATTATACTGTTTCACCCATGATACCCCCATGCGTTGCCATTCCTGAGGACTCAGGTGTTATTCCTCTGTACCCAGTAAATTCACGCCATATCCCACCCTTCAAACCGAAACACAACCATGCAAACACAACTGCTTCACGGTTGAAACACGAATGGGGCAGAGGTACCCAAGCAATCGACTTTTGTACAAAGTCTCCCTCTGGTGACACTTAATAACATTTAGCAAAATATATACAAAAAACCTACCCCTAGTACTGGTCGATATATGCCAAATTTCCCTCAGTAACATTCAATAAAGTCTCAGACTAATGACCTCATATTTCTTGAAGCAAATTAAGCTCGCTGAGAGCTTACAAAACACCTGTTCCTCTAATGAGAGACCTGAGAGGGTGAATATTCATCTCCCATAAATTACTCGACAAATTTTCACATTACAGATAACAGTGATCACTTTTTAATATTGTTTTTAGATTTGATACTGTCAATTTTATTGCTTCGCTATATGATCCCGGCATACACTGGGTACAGAGGAATAACACCTGAGTCCTCTGGAATGGCAATGCATGGGGGTATCATGGGCGAAACAGTATACTTTGTTATGTCCGTGGTACTGCTCATGTCTATAGGGCCTACGTTCGATTATTAAATTTTTTTTTTATTAATTTTAAACTTACAATGAATTGCAATTTTATTTTTTAAAATAAATAAATCACAACCACAGTCATGACCATATTAGAACAAAGAACAAAATCGATACAAATAATTTAAACATATTTTGCTTTCTAATCTTAAATACCAGTTCATTCGGTATCTCAATTTTGAATAATTTATTATGTTACAATGAAATTACTCCGTGACTAAATTATTTAGTGCCTCTTTTTCTTTCCAACACGAAACTCCAAAATGTTTCCTCCCTAATACAAAATTAAACCGACTGCGCGTATCTGGTGGATTTCTTCCTCATTTTGAATTCAACAGCGGTCTTGTGGATTCGATGTATGCGCCTTTGATTGATAGCCTATTATTTTGGGAATTAAGTATTACTAGCTGTATCGCGTAGATTTGCTCGCGTGAATCAGTAAGTACATATATAAAGCATCCTATCTATTAAACTAGGGTATAACTTACCCGTGTAGGAGGGAAAGGGATTGTTAGCAATGGGTATTAGGTCGACCTCCACGCGGTTCCCCCTGGAAACCATCATGATTAATTTTTGTCAAATTATTCACGATGGGCCAACTGACCTGCTTTCATCTTCACCTGTCATCTATCACTGGTACCTCGCCAGCGCATACTGATAGAGCAGGCGGGGCTACTATACTATTCCATTTGCACCCATTAAAAAAAACCTACCGGTGTAGCAAATTTCATTCAAATCCGTTCAGTAGTTTTTGCGTGAAAGATTAACAAATATCCATACATGTATCTTTTCGTCCGTCGTTACAAACTTCGTATTTATTATATTAATATCATTAATGGGGTTAATAGGGTAATAGGAGATTACAAGCAGACGCGTAGATAGATAACCAAAAGCCCTGGTGCAAATAAACTGGGGCCCTAACTATAGTAAATAATATTATTTTATGGATGATAATGGAATGGTAACACCGCATGCACTAACGCTGGCGGGACACCAGTGAGGGATGATAAGTGAGGATAAAAAGACAGGTCAGCACGATGGTTTCCGGACGAGACCACGTGAAGATCAATCTGATAGGATATATTGCTAGCAATGGGACTACTAGTTTGTTTTGTTAACAATCCCTTCTCCCCGGGTAAATAATTTAGACCTTATTAAGTGAAAACTGAACTATATATAATAAATACTTTAAAGATGCAAAACTACTTTACCATCAGCAACTTTTTTTATTATTAATGTTTTTAGAGAATCTAGTACTTATGCGCCCAGAACATAAGGACTAGATTCCAACTGCGAGCTATTTAATCATATTTAGAAAGTGGGAGAATTTTTTACCAGTTTATTTTAAGGTTTGCTGATCAGGCTCTGAGGGTCCCTTGAGTTTGGGAGCCTTGATGCATGGTCTTGTAATGTATTTACTGCACCGGTCTAAATGGATACTCTGGGGGAAAGGGATTGTTAGCAATGGAGTTTGACAGCCCCATTGCTAGCATATGCCTTATTAGGTCGACCTCCACGTGGTTCCCCCTGGAAACCATTGTGAACAATTCTCGTTGAATTCGTCACGATGGGCTAACTACTTCATACTCACCTATCATCAACTTAGTATGGTTTCATCGGCGGATTATACGAGATAAATTGCATCATGATTCATGCAGTCAATCCCTTTATATGTAAGTAGTGTAATGAAAGTATATATATATATATATATATATATATATATATATATATATATATATATATATATATATATATATATATATATATATATATAACTTCTTTATTTTGCTACTAATACTATTTTTACAAAGTTGAAATTGAAACAAGTAATGTTTATATGACAGGACGCATCAGGAAAATATATGGCAACACAGAAACACCTCGTGAAGGAGAGTCCAGAGATGCTGGCCATCGCGAACTGGACGGGGCAGGTGCCGCGGCGGCCCACCTTGCCCCCGGGGGCGCGGCTCTCACAGCTGATGGCATTAGGCTCCAGGCGGGACCCTGGACAGGTCGTGTGGATGTTGGCCAAATCTGACACCGAGATGAAGTGAGTAAAAACATTTATTTCATTAATTAGTCCAGAGGATCTACCATGAAATGTTTTCCAAAATTTTGGGGCCGAACGAAACACAAATTTGATGTTCATATCCAGTCTTTAACTGTACACTGTTGAACATAAGTCTCTTTCTTGGGGGGTTTTGTCAGTAGTTGCCATGCTTGGCAGGTGGGTTGGCAACCGCAGTTAGGCTTTAGAGATGTTTTAAGAGGGACGCTTAAGAGGGACGCTGCTGCCCATCCCTCTCCATCCCTTAATTGATTCTTACGACACCTACGTAAAGGAAGAGGTGGCCTAATTTATGCCAGGACCCCAGGGCCAGTATAGAAATTTGATGTTAATATTACATAATACATACCATTTTAAAATATTAAAGATGTTACAATATCTTTTTTTTTTTTTTGGACTTTTATGGTAGAATTTATGATAAACGAAACGATAAGCTCCATTTATGGGCCTGATTACGGTATGAACAAAAACGCGAAATAGAGTCCGAAAATTCGGAATTTTATTTCACGGTAGGTAAGTTACTTATTGGCTTTGTGACATGAATTTTATTAAACCAGGTCGATAGTGACGTATATTTTAACTTATTTGGAAACCATTGATTTCAACTGTACTTAATACAATAAATCCTATTAAGATAATAATTGCGAAAGTATGTAACAATAGATGGATGGATGAATATTTGTTATTCTTTCATACAAAAATTACTTTTAATGAATTTTGATAAAATTTGGGTACAGAGGAATAACACCTGAGTCCTCAGGAATGGCAACGCATGGGGGGTATCATGGGCGAAACAGTATACTCTGTTATGTCCATGGTACTGCTCATGTCTATAGGCGACAGTTACCACTTTCCATCAGGTGGGCCGTCAGCTTGTTTGCCATTCTAAGTTGTATAAAAAAAAAAAAAAGATTATAACCTAACTTACTTTATGTACTGATTCATGCGGTCGAAGCCGCAATATAGAGCTAGTTAACAATATATAAACATGAATTTATCTTACTAATATGATAAAAATTACTGTACTTATACGATCGTATCGTTATATTTGTAATTGTGTTGCTTATTCCTTATATTGTATAATGCAAATAAAGTATACTCATTTATTAAAAAAAAAATAGTTAAAAAGAAAAAGAATATGAGGTGTCATCATCATCATCATATCAGCCTTTAACTGTCCACTGCTGTACATAAGCCTAAGGGCGGGGGGGTTGCCAGTATTCGCCACGTTTGGTAGGCAAATGATAATTATTAGGTTTTGTAGATTTTTTTTTTTTTACAACACTAGGAGCAAACGAGCATGCGGCTCACCTGATGGTAAGTGACTACCGCCGCCCATGGTCACCCACAACACCTACGGCATTGCAGGTGTTTTAAAAGGGACGCTGCTGCCCATCCTTCGCCTTCCCTTAGTCACCTGTTATGACACCCGCGGGAAAGCCAGGGTGGCCTATTCTATCCCGGGACCACATGGCGGTATTAGGAGTCTTAATAACAAAATGACTAATATTTTATATACTAATTCACGCGGGCAAAGCTGCCAGAAATAGCTACTATAAAATAATTATGAATATCCTATTTTATTCGCCGTTTGTGTCCCGGCATAGAATGGGCCGCTTTCTTTATCGTAGGTGTCATAAGAGGCGACTAAGGGCGGACGCGGGATGGGCAGCAGCGTCTCTCTTAAAACATCCCTAAAAGCCTAACTGCGGTTGCTAAATTTGTAGTTCCCATGCTTGGCAGGCGGGCTGCCAAGCGTGGCAACTACTGGCAAACAATGGACAGGTTACCGGATGAAATAATATTTTCAAAAGAAATTAATAAACTCACTGTGTTTGTTTCAATTGTTTCAAATTCGTTTGTTTGTTTGTTTGTGAAAAAAAGTACATAAGATTTAAAAATAATAATATCCTATTTATAGCTAAGTGTATATGGTGCAATAAACATGTATCAAACATTGAACAAAGTCCAAAGTTTTCGAATTATTGATCGGTTTGCAAGGAATACTCACAAAACACCTTCCACGATAAATATACTCCGTTGTCCCTTCAGAACCATTTGTTGTTCTTCCCATTCCGTGGGGACCTTACGGCACTTTCATTGAGATATCCTGACCCTTACTAACTGCGATTATGTGTATTGCGTGCAGCGTTCTCATAGATATATTTTTGAACTAGCTATGTATAGCTATGTTATAGACTTTGTTTGTTTGTTACCGGCTTAAACAATTGTTAAAAATTTTGTTAGTATTATATTAATATTTAATATGGATGAATAATTCTATATATGACCTGTGACTTGAGTAGTTAGTATATTTTAACTCAATTTCAGACGCTATATTAGTTTTACAAAAATACGTTTAAGCTTAATTTTAAACCGACTTCAAAAAGAAAGATCTCAATTTGGTTGTATTTTTTTATGTTATATATAACTCATAACTTCGTCAGTTGTAAACCGATTTGGAAATTATTTTTTTTAACGAATATTCTTACAGATTGGTCTCATAGAAATTTTATCAAAATAGGTTTAGTCATTTAGTTTTTAAATCTATTTTTTATGCATCTTAGAATAGCAAACATGCTGACGGCCCACCTGATGGTAATCATAGACATAGCAGTATCATGGATATGACAGAGAATAGTGTTTCGCCCATGATACCCACCATACGTTGAGGACTCAGGTGTTATTCCTCTGTACCCTGTAAATTCACTGCCGTATCCCATCCTTCAAACCGAAACATAGCCATGCAAACACAACCGGTTCACGGTTGAAACGCGAATGTACAAAATCTCCCACTGGTAAAATAATTGGTTTCGATATAATAGAAGTCGGTGTTTTTGTGGGACACAATATTGAAATATCTTGAGATTTAAATAGGATTTAAGAATAAACATGACGTTCAACTTGTCTAAAGATGTCGGTTTCCGCTCTCTAACGAGCGGGCTGTCAAATTGCTTGCCATTCTAAGTTGCATAAAAAAGCCACACCTGGTATTTGCTTTGTTTTTATTTATTCTATTTTCGAATTCAAAAGAGCGATTCCCATTCTCATCTAAACTAATTTATACTAATAAAATAAGAGGAAAGACTTGGTTGTTTGAATGTTTGTTTGTATTGAAAAAACTCATAAACTACTCAACCGATTTAAATAAATCTTTCACCTATAGCAAGAGACAGTATCAGCAAGTAACTTGGTTTATATATTCTTTTTGAAAATTCTGTATGCCCGTGCGTATTAAATTTTTATTTGATTTTTAATATTTAATTTTTATTTGTAATAAATAAGCTCAAAAATTACTCAAGCAATTTTAATAATTATTTCACCTATAGAAAGTTACATTATCATGGAATAAAAAAAATTAGAGATGTTCTAGTTATCAACTCGTGTGAATTTGGGGCGGTTATTATATTAATAAATAAATAATTAAATATAAAACGTTAATGTTTAAATTCTAAGCCTCGATATGAGATTAGGTAGGTTTTGGGCCGAATATGGCATTCCACTGGTAATGGGCTGATCGCATAGCTCGAAGAACTGATAACCGATGGGGAAGAAACGTTCTTGAGTGGCAACTCCGTACGGGCAAACCCAGTGTAGGACGACCCCCACTAGATGGAGTGACGACCTGAAATGCATTGCAGTGGATGCAGGTGGCTCAAGACCGTTCCTTATGGCAGTCTATGAAGGAGGCTTATGTCCAGCAGTGGACAAATAATGGCCAAAAAAATTTGGCATTCCACGCTACAGCCAGATTTAAATATAAATTATATTCTGCATATAAAAGATAATTGAATTGTTTACCAGCATTTGAAAGGAGTAATGAGGGATTTCCTTCGGCTTTTAACATTTTTCGAACTCCTAAAGCTTATTTTAAAATGATTTTGTTGTAAAATGTAAATATTAGTATTTTTATATCAGCCTTTTTTTTGAATGGGTGACGATGGAATGGTAACCCCGCCTGTGCTATCGGTATACACTGGCAGGGTACCAGTGAGAAATGATTGGTAAGGATGAAAAGGTAGATTAATTAGCCCATTATGACGAATTTAATGATAAACTAGTCACGATAGTTTCAAGAGGAAACGCGTAGAGGTTATAATAGCCGTTGACTGTCCACTGGTGAACATAGGCCTCTCCCATAAGGCAGGATTTTGCCAATAGTGGGTGCATTTACCAGACGAGTTGGCAACCGCAGTTAGGTTTTGGTGATGTTTTAAAAGGGACACTGCTACCCATCCCTCCATCATTAGGTTCTCTTAATAGTCTCTTATTACACCCATGGGAAATGCAGATAAAAAATGTAAACTTAAATAAAATGTTAAACTAAATTGTATTCGCCATTTCGTACGTAAACAGTTTTGTCACAATACAAGTAAGCAAGCAAATAAACAAATCCTTGCGATGGCTATGTACCTATTGACATTAAATCGTCCTCAGATATCATCTCTCACATCTGGCCTCTGTGTATCTGTGTGTAGGGATTGATAGTACTGCGAAATGTCAGTCCAATTAGCAATGTCAGGTCGACCTCCACGTGGGCACCCCTGGAAACTTCATCGTGCTGAATTCCAGGTGTATTCATCACGATGGCTACTTGATCTTCACTTTCATCCTCACTTATCACCCCTCACTGGTACCCCGCCAGCGTATACCGTTAGCGCAGGCGGGATTACCATTCCATTACCATCCATTAATTCGACCTCCTCGCAGTTCTCCCTGGAAACTATCATGGTTAATTCCTCATGAATTTATCATGATGGGCTAACTGGCCTGTTTTCATTCTCATCTATCACCCTTCACTGGTGCTCCGCCAGCGTATCCTGTTAGCGCAGGCGGGGTTACCATACCATTTTCACCCATCAAAAAAAAATACCTTGGAAAAAAAATAAATTGGAATGCCAATAGAGCCTCTATTTCATTTTCATTCATTAAAAAAAATTTGAAATACATAATATATCATGTGAATGTGTGAAACCTATTAT